GGTGGGGGGGTGCTCAAGGGGCACTTTTTGTTAGTATACTGTCAGGGTATGGGATAGATCTACAAGACATTCAGAGAATTTGAGATTGGTGGGGTTTTTTTTGTAGTTCTAGAATATGTTCGTAAATTTCAATACAGTACGAGTTAGATTGTCTGACGTGTTCAATACTGTAACGATTGTTTTATAGTTTCAGACGTTCAACATTGTAAAATAGTTTTGTAGTTTCAAATGATGTTCAATACAATAATAATAGTTTAATAGTTTCAGATGTTTCGTTGCGTTCATATAGTTTGATAGCTTCAGGTGTAAATAGATATACATGTACTTTAGCACATTTTGATAGTTTCAGATTATAAGTAACACTTCAGTGACAATAGACTAACAGTGTTATATGCTTGTCACCGAAAAGCTGAGAGTCAGATTTGAATTTAATGACTACCTATCGGACGGTTGGCATTATGATGACGTTAATAATATATTATGACGTCAGCTACAGCGTGGACCTCTGACCACCCGGCTACATCCAGGTTTGGAGCGGGCAGTTTGGGAGGCGGGCGAGAACAGACGTCGGAGAATGAACAAGAGGAAGAGACTGAGGAGGAACAGCGCTGCTGGCATACACAGTGGGCACGACTCAAAGCTCAGAAAGGGGAGCATGATGGTCGTTTGTTGGTGTGTCACTGTTTTGTTCTATCACTTCTTTATTCGACGACTATTTTGCTCTATCACTTACTTGTTCTCTCACTAATTTGTTGCATCACTAATTTGTTTTACGACTATTTTGTTCTGTCACTTCTTTGTTCTGTCACGTCTTTGTTCTATCTCGTCTTTGTTCTATCTCGTCTTTGTCGTATCACTTCTTTTTCTTCCCTCGTGCGTCTTTGACTTTTGAGCCAGCCTCACAACGACAACAGCAAGAGTTGTGGATGGTGACAGAGCTCACCACAGGTCGCTCGTGTTGGTGTTGTTGTGGTTGTTGTTGTTGTTGTTGTTGTTGTTGTTGCTGTTGTTGCTGCTGCAGCAAAGAAATAGTATGTGCACACAGCAACACCAATGCTAGGAAAAACACAGACGTCAGTTCGAACTCACGCTCCATTCCGGCTCGCAGCAGATGCTCACGTCATCACACATTGTTTCAGATTCTCTGCCCTCTTAACGTTTCGCCCGCAACTCTAAAGTATGATCACAAAGAACCTTTTCTTCTCTGCTCTTGAACGTTTTCGAAACCACGGAACCAGGTAGATCTAGAGCTTCTATTCACTCCTCTTACTGTTGTCGTAACCCTACGAAGACATGGAATTTCTCTTTTCTCCTATCTTGTTTTCCGAACTCTATCACCACGAAGAACTTCGTTTTTTTCCTTGATGTTTTCACAATCCTATGACCACAAAGAACTTCTTGTATGTCCTTAATATGTTCGAAAAAGTGGAACACTTAGAATTAACTAATCGTTCTGTATGGTTTCGTAATTCATAGACCAATCAAATATAAAATCCTTTTCTCTTTAACCTTTCCGCAACAGTAAAACTTTAAACCTCAGTTTAGTGTATGTATAAACTCTGCGTAAAAAAAAAAAGTGTGATAACTAAAAATAAATAAAACCGATAACACACTAAGAAGTGTTAAAATACGCAGTTAAATATCCAAATTCCTATAATTTACGAATCGTTTCTGTCCATTGGGGAAGTCAATACTGTTAGTTCAACGCCGTGCTTGATATTGATGGAATCATAGGCAAGGTTTCCTGGCCAAGTAAATTAGAAATAAAACAGACACCACAATAAGCATCAGAACGGTGTACGTGAAGACCTGTCGATCATTCACCTCGACCATTGCTTCTACTCAGATATTCTTAATTGTCCTCAAACAGCTTTTAGAAAGTTTGTGTTAGTGTGAGAAAATGGGCCTATTAGAAAAGCGGGAGATTAATAACTCACTGCTTAAAAAAAAAAAAAGAATCCGAAGGAAAAAGGAGAGGAACGTTGAGGAGGGGTGAGGGGGGGGGGGGTGTTATTGAAAGTAATGCTCTGTGAAAAAAGATGAAATCAAGTCTCTTGTTAAGGGACTGATCAGATCATGTAATCGAAGCCTCTTGCTCGGGGATTGGTAAAATCAAATCACGTGGTACCAGATGATATGGACAAGCCTCTTGCTCGGGGATTGGTCAGATCAAATCACGTGGTACCAGATGATATGGACAAGTCTCTTGCTCGGGGATTGGTCAGATCAAATCACGTGGTACCAGAGGATATGGACAAGCCTCTTGCTGAAGGTGTGGATCAAACCCCAGACAAACATAAAGGCTTCTGGATGGGTCAGGCAGACGACCACGATCAGGCAATAGGACACAACCAGGCACGCGGTCTGGAACAAACTCCAAGCGCGGGACACGGCCGACCCCGTGACGTCAGGCGGGTCAAAGGTCACGCCAAAGTGCCTCGGGAAGCTTTTGCTTTTTGCCTTTTTTGCTATTTGTTGTTGTTGTTGTTGTTTCTGTTGTTCTCCTATATCCCCTGTTTAGGAGATAGCCTCTTTCTGGTAGTGTGATATGAACGTGTGTTAACTTATTTCAACTTTTAAAAAATCTGAAGACTTGTGAATTTCTTTACAAAGATGTTTGCCTGCCACTGCGCGGTTTTCAGGCCTGCACTTTGCCTGCCACGGTGACAAACGATTCTGTGTCGTCCGATAACGAGTTTATAGAGATGTCTGAGTCGACTTCCGAGGGCAGATGTATGGATCTATAAGGTCGTACCACATGATCAACTATATATCGCTTCATAGCCAGAATTAGAAGTGTAGTGACCACGGAGGGAATGTTGATCTGTGTCGCGTAAAGCAAGAAAAGCAAAACCAACGTGCTGAGAGTGATGTTCAACACAACGCTTTCCGGTACAGCAGACGCGACCTCGACAAGGGCACATAACCACACCGAGCTAGCAAGCTCAAGCGAGGAGTAATTTCCCCTGATGAAGCTAGTGTTCAAAGATGGCGCCGGGGGAATAAGGCCGTAGGCAGCGGTTGCTAGATCTAGGCCTATGCTAGTATTAGCATTCTCTTCATCTGCTTGAGTGGTTGTAAGTTTAGGTATTGTGGGTGACGGTGGTGGTGCGTTAAGGGTGTCGGGTTCCTTTCTCACTTGGGGAGAAGTTGCCGCGGCAGTGGTGGGTTGAGACTTTTGGATGTGCTTGGTGATGTCAAGGTCAAGGTCAGAGGAGAGCCCAGACACAGGGCGTTTGAGGATGTTCCTGGGATCAATGGTGAACGGACTTATGGAGAGGTCTCCAACTGGACCAAGACCAAAGCGCTCCTAGAAGCAAAATAAAAACTTGAATTACAGGCAGTTTCACTTGATATTACATAGCTTGGTAATATTTTTATTATTATTATCTCTCTTGCTCTATCTATCTATCTATCTATCTATCTATCTATCTATCTATCTATCTATCTATCTATCTATCTATCTATCTATCTATCTATCTATCTATCTATTTATCTATCTATCTATCTATCTATCTATTTATCTATCTATTTATCTATCTATCTATCTATCTATCTATCTATCTATCTATCTATCTATCTATCTATCTATCTATCTATCTATCTATCTATCTATCTATCTATCTATCTTCTGTCCCTCTCTCTTTTCTGCTCTCTCTCTCTCTCTCCCTCTCTCTTTCTCTCTCTTCCGCTCTCTCTCTCTCTCTCTCTCTCTCTCTCTCTCTCTCTCTCTCTCTCTCTTTCCCTCTCTCTCTGCCTCTCTCTCCTCCGTCACTTTCTTAGTCTCTCTTTCTATCTTATCTTTACGGTGCTAGATGTTCGGCGGTAAAATGTTTTTAGGCACATACATGACCAAAACTGAGTCGACGGTGCCGTAAAACACCTACTTAATCAATCAATCAATCTAGATTCCATCTTTCTTTAGCTTTTTCTTTCTTTCTTTCTTTCTCTTTCTATATCTCTTTTTCTATGTTTCTCTCGCCCTGATGTTCTTTACACCAGAAAAATCGAGCCATGTTTTATCATTTAGATTGTTTAGGAGACTGACCAAAAGAAAAACGAATAAAACAGAAATTATACAAATGCATGAACGAACAAAAGCAAACAAAACCCAAACAAAACAAACGCAACCACATACGATAAAATACAAAACCAAACAAACAACGCAACACCGCCAACAAACTAACCAACGATAATCCCTTTCCCGATTGTTCTTTCAAAAGCGATTCGAAAAAATACCAGGAGCATCAACGTTCATAACAACAATTATTCTTAAAGTGTCAAAAAATAAATCAAAATAGAATAAAAACTTATTAGACTATATTTTATACCGATATAGTTTTTTCTGGTGCTGTTAGAAGCTTCGGGGTGTTGCTAGGTTGACTCTAACTTATACATAGATGAAGTGCCAACTTACTGGTTTTCTTCTGTTGCTGAGAACTTGAGAGAGTTGCTCTGTTGGCTCCAACTTATAGTTATAGACGTGCTTTTGATTCTGTTGTTGAGAACTGAAGGGTATTGTTAGGTTGGTTCCAGCCTATATAAATGTACTCTGTTGCTGAGAATTTGAGGAAGTTCTTATTTTGGTTTTGATCTTGCATGATGCTATTTTGTTATTCGTCCGTTTTGAGACGTTCTTCTGTTTCCTGCAACCTCAGCGTACTTTCACATTCGTTGGTTTTCTTGATAACGATGTCTTTTGTTCTTTCCTTCTTTTAGTTTTTAGGTTGTTGGATTTTTTTTAGATGTTCTTGTGTCGCCCGTAGCTTGGAGATTTTCCTGAAGTCATTGTTTCCTAACTTACTATATATTGTTCTTTCTCTTTTATGAAATCTTGAAATGCCTTTTTATCTTCCTTACATGCGCCTCTGAAGAGACATATATTTCTGACTGATTTTGATTAGCGCTTCCAGAATGACCTCTAGAAATACAAGATTTACTAACTGTTTCTATTCAATAATGAAATAAAAGTTGTTTTGTCGACAAAGGCGTCTAGCGTT